ATATGTGAATGTTCTCTTAAGTGGTTAATATTTTATATAACTCATATTTGTCAAAATAATTCTGGTCCTTTCAAAACATATTTTCAATGTCATGCAGTTGAGCAACTTGATTGACACCAGCTGAGGCAAGGACAGCATTGCAGTCCTTTAGGATAAAATGCCATCAGCAAACCTGGGTAAGTAGTGGAGATCACATAGCTGAATGGTTGAGAATTACACTATCAAGGGGAGATCTCCTTCTGGGAAAAGCTCAGAAAAGGATTTCTATAAATGCAGTCTACTCCTGAGATGAGAAGACAACATACTGTATTAAGGTTATATCAAGCAAGATTGCATATTTTGAAAAAAATGATCAAATTATCTTCCTGGCTACTGAAATAAACTATGATTTACAACACGATTTCAGTCAATTTAATTTAAATGAGATTCACTCTAGTTAAAACTAGGGGTCACTCTATTGAGGCAGCCGTGTTAAAACAGTATCAATTAATTATGATTAGGTAGACAGCATTGTAGGTACAGTATAATAGGAAATAAATATTTACCCTGTCCTTGAGGAAGAAAGCTTCTGTTACAACATGGAAAAATCTATCAACAGTCCTGCCAAGTCTTTCCCTATGACCTCCCTCAGTTCAACCAGTCATTCAAAAGCCAAAGCAGCCCAAAGACCTGCCAGGGTGAATTCAAGATTTTACTCAAAGTCACAATGATTATATGCAACTTCTTTATTGATAAAAGAACCAAAAATGACAATAAAATTAACATTTGCATAACGCTTTCCAGTCTGAAATCTTTTTCATATGCATTCTCGCTTAATTTTCAATCCACTCTATAAGATGTGGAAACTAAGATTTAACAAAATGAAGTGACTTCTTGAAGGTGATACAAACAGAAAGTAGCAAGCCAGGACTTGAACTCAGGCTTTCTGACTTAAAAATCCTATACTTCTCACTATTCTGGTTATATTGGGAAGGGACTGGAACAAGTGACAAGCCAGGACTGAGACAACTATAAAACAGCAGAGAGAGAAGAAATGAGCCAAGACTATTCAGAGTGCTACACTATGGTTCTGATTGTGGGCTAAGAAAAACTATTTTAACTGCAGAGGCTGGTTTGAATGAGGGCAGCCAAAACATCCAAAACAGTGTCAAAAGGGCATGGCAAACTCAGGCAAACAGGTTCAGTCATAGCCTAGAATCACATTGTAAATTGTAGCTCCTATCCATGGTCAGAGAGATAATCATTTTTCCTATACAATGTTCCAAGAAGTAGAAATGACAAATTGGATATGGTACAAGAGAATCCAAGCAGCAAGTCATAATGCAGAAGTCAGATGGAACTGCATGTACCGTTGTTCCAAGAGATCTATTCACAGCAACGTACTATAGTTCTAAGCAGTGTCCTGATCCTGGAAGGTAACTAGGGAAAGATGCAGGGCAGGCTAACCCCATGAAAATCATAACAAGCAGAAATGACACAGTTCCACAGATTAAAAAATCCCAGCCCTCAGCTTTCCGCTGGGGAGGGAAAGAGTTGATCCATGCCTCCAATGTCCCAACTTCTCCCGGGCTGCCCAAAGAACTAGCATCTGCCTCTCCAGTCTTGAATCTTCTGTAACAGGGGGAAGGGCCTGAAAAAGGGTAAAATGTTTTAGAAGTTGTCTCTTTAAACGGCCCCCCCACCCCTCTTTTGGGGAATTAAAACCTGCATCCCTGTCCAAGGACACTAATCAGAAGGGCAGAGGAGTATTCCCTGTTTTTTATACCACAGGAGATGGCTCAATAGAATTGTCCGGGCAGAGGTCAGGAGATTGTCTTCACTTTGCAGGAGATGGGGTAGATCAGGACCATCAACTGTAGTTAAATAGCAAAAGCCCCAAGATGAAAACTCCCTTTAAAAGCTCGGTATTTCTACCTATATATAGGATGATGGCACTCTAGGAAGAGGGTCTCCTCTCCTCCTCATTTTCTGGCAAATTAATAAGCTTCTCTTTCCCTCTCTTCAAATCACTTGTCCTGGGTCTTCTGATGAGGCCTCAAGACCAAGTGCCAAACTTTCGATAACACTCTGATGGATCTGGCACAGTTTAGCTGTTCAGGGAACAGTCTAACTGCTCAAGAGAGAATGGAGACAGTTCTCCATTGAGAACGGCTTGGACTGGTGAATTCCATGGCTCCACCCTCTGGATCAGCACAGAGCAAGCAGACAAACACCACAGCTGCCTGATTCTCCCTGGGCAGGGTAAGAGTTGGTAGAGGCTCCCAGAATCTCTGGCGGGGCTGATTGGTAGGAGTCTTCTGTACAAGGCAAGCCTGTGAAGACTGAGAGAGGTGCCTTCTTTGTCTAATACACAGACACTGACACAGAGAGTCAAGGAAAATAAAGAACCAGGCAAAGATGTTCCAAACAAAGGAACAAGACAAATGCCAGAAACCAACCCTCAGGAAATAGAGTTACATGATTTACTTGATAGAGAATTAAAAATAACTCTCATGAAGATGCTCACTGAGGTCAAGAGCATCTTCATAAGCATGAACAAAGTGAGAATTTCAACAGAGATAAAAATATTAAAAAGTACCAAAAATTTCTCCAAAAAGACATAGAAATGGCTAACAGGTATATGAAAAATCCTCAACATCACTAATCATCAGGGAAATGCAAATCAAAGCCAAAATGACATTTGGTAGAGGATAATCTCTATCAAAAAAAAATGGAAAATAAGAAGTGTTGGTGAGGATGTGCAGCAATTGGAACCATTGAACAC